GTTTCAGTGAATCCCTTGTGCCCTCCGGCCGACCTCCCTCCACCCACCTGGTTAATTGACAATCATCCGGCCTTCAGCGTCAGGACCATTCTGGACATATGATGCCGTGGGCGAGGTTTTCAATACCTTGTGGACTGGGAGGGTTATGGACCTGAAGAAAGGTCGTGGATTCCTTGGTCTTTTATCCTGGACCCGAGCCTCATCACGGCGTTTTTCAGTGCTCACCCCCAAGAAACGCCTCAGGTCGCCTGGGGGTGACTCTTGGGGTGGGGGGGGGGGGGGGGGGTACTGTAAGAGTTCCACTGCCTGCAGCTCCTTCTCCAAGATGGCCGCTGATTACCACCAGCTGTCATCCATCCACCTAAGAGGATCCTCTACTATTTAAGGCTGCAGTCCAGTGTGACTCAACGCTGGAGCATTATACCCTTTTTGGTATTATTGCTTTTGGCCTGTAGTTCATTGTTATTGACAAAGTGTTACTTACCTTCTATTTTTGTGCCTGCATTCATCCTGCTTCCTCGAGTCCTGTCCTGGAATCCCCGTTGTCTCTGGTTCCTGCTCTCTGTGCCTCGCCTTCCAGCCATACGCCAGTTCACCTGTCCACCCATGCTTAATATCGACGCTACCATCTGTAAGAGAAAAACTAGCATTAATTCTGTACGTACAATCCTGCCAGTGGACCTCCTCTGAACCAACTCTTTTCCCCAGGATCTTCCTTGGAGAGGACCACTTGTAAATAATTCACTGTATATAATAAACACTTATCTTTTTATAATTGTATTTTGTCCTTTCTGGTCTCGTACAAATCTGGGTTCCCCACGTTATGACACTTACGGATGGAAGGTGAAACGTTTAAGCAAAAAAAGAAACTGTCCAGATGACCTAACTGAAATTGTTGGGTAAATAATGAATCTTCTTCATACACCAAAGTTAGTCAAGGAGTTCCTCAAAGATCAGTGCTTGGACCAATACTCTTGACCTTGTGCTACCATTAGGTAAAGTTATTAAACAGCATGGGATAAATTTTCATTGTTATGCTGATGATACACAATTATATTTGTCCATGAAATCCAATGAATCCAATCAGTTACTTAGACTACAAGCATGTCTTAAATACATAAAAACCTGGATGATCCTTAATTTTTTGCTTTTGAACACAGACAAGACTGAGGTTTTAGTTTTTGGACCTGAGCCTAAACATTGTGTCATCATTTCAGAACTCGTGGATTCCCATAGGCGTTGTCCTTGGCCATTCCCCGACATCCCTCGAAAATGTTTACGAATCTCACCAGAGGAAACTGGCAGATTATTCCATCCTTATCAGAACTTTTATAGTGCCCTCGAGAGCATCCATGGACATGAAAAAAGCCTGATAGGAATTTTTTCGCCTCCAATTCCTACATGTGTCCAGTTTCACTACTTTTTGTCTGTCTAAACATATCTCACTTGTAAATGAGTCTTCTAGGCTCAATGTGACTTATCTGTCTAAATAAAGGTTGAATGAATGTCAGAATTAAACATCTTTATTTTTCCAGACTTCAAAATGAATGAACAAGAAAAAACTGTTTTTATATTACTGGAATTCAGGGTCCCTCTGTACCATACAATTCTGACCTGTGTCAAGTCTATGCCAACATTTATAAACTGTTTTCTCCACCCCGTTACACTTCCTGCTTTCAATTACTGTCCATTAAACACCTTACAGACTCTCTGAGGATTCTGTCCAATCAATCAGGCACACATTTGAGTGTTTTTTGGGGATCATAAAATAACTAATGAGTAAAAGAGTAGCTTAATAGGTCATAGCGACCCTGGCTCTTAGTGAAGTAATCTAAAAACTTGATAATGTGCTAAATTACCAAGGGAATAATCAAGATTTTCAGAACATTTTTGATGTTTTGTTTCTCATTTAAGGCCTTATTAGAAATAAGTAACTATTTTCCTACTGACAGCAGAAAGTGTCATTGTTTGATTTTAAAGTTAGCAGTCCTTGAATATATATTAATTATCGGCTTACAACCTAGTTTACACATCTAACAGAAATTCTATCCATCTTTATATGATCTATTTTCCATAATTAATAATTAAACTTTATATTCACAAATCTATATTATGTTATTTTCCACCAGTTATCATCAAAGGTTATTCTGTCCCCAATATTGTTCTGCAGCCATGGACACAACAGGTACCTGAACTCAGCACAGCTATTTTAGTAAACTTTATGGTTGTTAAATAAAACAAAAAGAGTTTTATCTGCTAAACTGAATGCAAATTACTTTCAAATAAACTGTAGTCCATGCTCTGGTACCATGGTTAACCTATGCTTACTGCTACTTCCTGTCTGACAGGAAGTTGCAACCAGAATCATTTATACAAGAATCCCCAGGAATAAGGTGGATAACTTGCATTTTCCTCTGATTATGTGATATTATTGTAATGGATCACCTGAATCCAGGGCTTAATTTGTAAACCGATCGATGCTAGAATAGCGGGCGGGCTGGCTTTTGGGTGGAGTCTGCGGGGGTCCTCCCCAGAAAATTTTGAATAAAGTAGATGCGATTTCCTGCATTTTGATGTATTTAACAGGTGGTTAAACATTTACATTTATCTACATTTGTAAAAACTTGCTCAATCTCAGTGCGAGATTATTGAAATCCTTCGGGTCAGTAGATGTCAGAATCAGAATAAGCTTTATTATCTTTGCACTGAGATACAACGAGAACATGTACGTACAGTTGTCCGAAAGATGGGCGGAGTGCACGAAGCTGCTACTATGAAAAGCGCAGCCCTCTTCTTCTTCCTCAGAATAATATTTTTGCTTGGATGAGAAAAGGGAAGAAAACATGAGAAGAGACTGTATAAAAAAGATCTTTCACACCGTGTCCTAAACAAGGCATGAATTGAGGCATCACAAAAACCTACCACAGCAAAGCAACATAAATAGACGTGATACATGTACATATAGGCCAGTGAAGACATTGAATTTTAAGGGAAGGTTGTAGCATAGTCCAAAGGCTTTTTGAAGGGTTCACAAGACAAAAGAGAGCGTCTGACTTCACTGGAGCACAGCATTCATTCCACAGTTTTGTTTATCTGCCTGGATTTGACCTCCTGCCTGTTTCTCGGATTCCTCGCCGTGTTGGATTATACTCTGCCTACTGTAACGATCTCTGCCTTCCTGACCATGCACAAAGGATTACGTTTCGGACTCAGGCTTTGGATTGCTGATCTCCTGTGTATGAAATTCGCCTGTCTCTCTGGATTTCCCTGTCGGATTTCCCTTAAAATTACGCTCTGCTCGGCGCTGCTTTTCTGCCTCTTAATCTTCACTGCCAGTGATGTCACTATATTCTCTGAAACTTAACAGTCACGTAAACATGACCGTTAAATCATGTTTCTTCCAACTGAGGCGGCTGTCTAAACTGAAGCCCATATTGTCCAAAAATAACCTGGAGACAGTAATACATGCATTCATTACATCTAGGCTTGATTACTGCAATTCACTCCTGTTTGGTATCAGTCAGACCTCCATTGCACGACTACAACTGGTCCAGAATGCAGCAGCCCCATTTTTAACCAGTACAGGCAAAAGAGAGCACATTACACCAGTTTTGGCCTCACTGCACTGGTTACCGGTTCACTTACGAATCCAGTTCAAAATACTCATGTATGTCTACAAATCACTGAACAGTGTCGCCCCCCCATCTCTCTGATTTGCTACAACCGTATGTCCCACCACGCTCCCTGAGGTCAGCGGACCAGTTGCTCCTCACAGTTCCAGGAACTCATCTTAAGCGCAGAGGTGACAGGGCCTTCTCTGTAGCAGGACCAAGACTCGGGAACGAGTTACCTCTGCTTGTCAGACAGGCCCCCTCCCTCTCGGTTTTCAAATCCCGTTTTAAAACTCACTACTATTCAGTAGCTTTCAACACCAGATGATCTGTGTTTTGATCCTGTATGCTCCACACTGGTTAGTCGTCATTATCTGCATCGTTTTTTTTGTCTATATTCTTATTGACCTCATTTTGTATTTTGCTTTGTGTGTTACCTGTTGTTCTGTCTGTACAGCACTTTGGTTGGCCTTGTCGCTGTTTCCTGTGTCGGTGCCTGTCTGAATACTCATCTGTTCAATGTCAGAGAAGAACAGTTCATTCCCTTTTCTATCTCTTCAGATTGGCCCGGCCCAAGGACCTCGACCTCCACCAGCAGATGTGTTATAATAACATTTGAAATCTTTCTGTTGTCTGTGGTCAAAATCAAATCCTAAAAAATGGTTCTTGGCAGTATAAATAAAGGTTGAATGAAAAGGTGTCTTTATTGTGAATGACAATAAAGACACATTGACCTTGACCTTGAATTCACTGTCTGACTCCATACATGAAACTTCCAGGCACTCACCCCCAACACTCTTTTAGGGGTAGAGATTTTTTTAAGGGTAGAGGTGGAAATGCTTCACTTGAAGGGGCAGGTGATCATCCTGTATGTGATGTTATGAAGTCATGTTGTGTCATCTGTTGTATATAAAATTAGTGTTTATGTAATTTTTTTCCAGATTACATGTCCAATATACTTTGTAAGTTTTATTCATTCAAGGCAGTCATATTTGTTCATAACTTTATTATTAGTAAACTTGAGAATTACCAGATCCAAGTAAACAGTTACCGGAACACACCCTGTCAAAATAAGTGAGTTCCCGGATGCTGTTCCAACAGGATCCGGCTCACATTAAGCCCTGCCTGTACCTGCATTGGTCAAAGTAGATAATTGGTCAATGACTGTCAAACACATGCAAGTGCTGAGTTGATAGTTTAGTTTAGCAGAAATAATGTCTGTTGTCTATTACCACTAACATCCAGAGTTTTTACTGGAATTTTAGAAATCCTTAATACACTTTATGAACAGAGTTCAGACTTAAATACTGAGGCAAACTGGTATCTCCAATGGCCCACAGTAGTAGGCCCTCAACCCAGGGACTTCCTGTACTTCTCAGTCCCCACTGTTTACTGATAAGATGAATTGTGGATGGATATAGCTCCATGGGTGGAGCAGGCAGAGAAATCTTTTTGAGGCTGGAGAGGTGATCCTGGCTGATACAGAGGTGGATTGTTGGATGTATTCCTGGAAACAAGAACAGCAGGAGAGTATAATGAAGATGAGGGTGATGGAGTTATGATGGGAACACTTCTTTGGATTGGAGCTGAATGGTAAAACCCCACGTCAGCCTGTGGTGGTTGTGAGATCATTGATGATACAGAGTGTGGCACCACAGAGTTGGTGAAGTGAGGGGTCAAGGGTTGGTACGAGACACCATCAACACTGTAATGAAGGTAAGGCTGCGCTGTAGTCCACATGTTACAGTTAAGCGACGGAGAGTTAGTTATGTCATCTTTTGTTACCATCCCTGACTCAAACTTAGTTTCCATACAGTCGTACATGCAAGCATCTCTGGAAGCTATTGCCTCGGTGCAGTATGAATGAGACTGTAAGGGTGACTCATGAGAAGGAGGTGAATGGAAATAATGCTCTTCTGACACCACAGAAGATGTCTCCAGGTATGGTCTCTTACATTCACGCTCCATGTGTCCACTATTATCTGAAAGTAGCAGAAACAAAAGGAGACAATTCAATTTAAGAAATTAATAATTATTAGTTTTATAATAGTTGTAGGAATTTTTCCAACCCCAATTCTAAAAAAGTTGATGTTGTGTAAAACATAAATGAAAACAAAATGCACTTATATGAAATGCTCATAAACCCATATTTTATTCACAATGGAACATAGTAAACATATAAAATGTAACAAGGTGATTTTGTATTAGATGGCAGCAACATATCTATTTAAAGTTTGTCTAAGGCCATGTTTCCCACTGTGAAGTATACCCCCATTTAGCCACCTTCTGTAAGTGTCTAGGAACTGTTGGACATTTTGGAGAAGAATGTTGCTCTATTCTTGTTTAGTATAAGTCAGTAGCTGTCTTTACTACTGCATTATTTTTGCTTTGCTTGTTTCATCAAATTGTTTGCATCAAATGTTTTCATCTGATAAAAGGTCAGAAATGCAGGCAGGTTAAGTCGACAACTGTGCTTTTCTACTACATGCTGTTGGAATGGATGCAATATGCAATTTAGCATCATCATGCTGAATTATGAAAGGCCCTCTCTTAAAATACATCATCTGGATGGGGACATATGTTGTAAGACCCGTAAATACTTGTCTGTATTCATGGTCCCTTTCCAGAGGCATAAGCTGCCTATGCTATAGGGACAAATGCACCCCCATACCATCAGAGAGGCAGACTTTTGAAACCTGTGTTGATAGCAGGCTGGATGTTCTCTCATCAGCAATTTTCAAAACCAATTTCAAATTTGAATTTGTCTTCACACAGAACAGTTTTCCACGTTGCCTCAGTCCATTTTAAATTAGATTTGGTCTAGAAAAGAAAAGTTATGATTATGTTTATGAATGGGGTTTTCTTTGTATAATAGATCTTTAACCAAACCAGCCACTAGGGAGCACAAGCCAGTGTACCTCTGGTTCTAGTCCCAAGCCTGGGTAAATGGTGAGGGTTGTGTCAGGAAGGGGATCCAATGTAAAACACTTTTGCCAAAACTATAATGCGAGCTCATCAAAGCAAAACCATACCGGATCAGTCGAGGCCCAGACTAACAACAACCTCCACTGGTGCTGTTGACAAACAGGGTGCTGGAGGAAATTGTACTACTGTCGAAGACCATGAAAAGGGAAATTGTCAGGAAAAAGAGGGAGAAGAAGAAAGTCATGAATGTAAGACTGAGGGTTGCAACTTTAAATGTGGGGACAATGACAGGCAAAGATAGAGAGCTAGCTGACATGATGCAGAGAAGGAAGGTAGATGTTTTGTGTGTCCAAGAGACCAAGTGGAAGAGCAGCAAGGCTCGCAGCATTGGAGCAGGGTTCAAACTGTTTTACCATGGTGTGGATAGAAAGAGAAATGGAGTAGGGGTGGTCCTGAAGGAGGAGTTGGCAAAGAATGTAGTAGAGGTGAAGAAAGTGTCAGATAGGATGGTATGCCTGAAGGTAGAAGTAGAAGGTCTGATGATAAATGTTGTCAGTGGTTATTCTCCACAGGTTGGATGTGATGAGGAGGAGAAAGAGGAAGAGAAAACCTGAGGGAGATTGGAGACTACAAGGTTGTGGCAGGGAAGAGCGTGGCCAGACAGCATTGGATGGTTGTGTGTAGAATGACTGTTGTTGTGAAGAAGAGAAAAAGAGTAAAATCAGAGAAGAAGACCAAATGGTGGAAGATGAAGAAGGAAGAATGTTGTGAACAATTCAGAGAGGAACTGTTAAAGGCTCTGGGTGGTAAGAAAGAGCTTCCAGATGACTGGACTACTACAGCAACAGTAATTAGAGAGACAGGTAGGAAGGTACTTGGTGCGTCATCTGGACAGAGAATGGATGATCAGGAAACCTGGTGGTGGAATAGTGAAGTGCAGGAAGCTGTTCAAAGAAAGAGGTTAGTCAAGAAGAAATATGACAGAGAGAGGACTGAAGAGAGAAGAAAGGAATTATTTTTTTTATTTTTATTAAACCTTTATTTTACCAGGAAGAAATCCACTGAGATTATTAATCTCTTTTACAAGGATGTCCTAGTAAAAACAAAAACAGAGTAATATTGTGTATGTTGTTCAGTGTCAGGAGGGCTGTGATCAGTCTTTCATTGTGGAAACTAACCAGCCACTGGCCAAAAGGATGGCCCAGCACAGAAGATCAACAACATCAGGCCAGGACTCTTTGGTCTACATTCATCTCCAGGTCAGAGGTCACTCTTTCAGGGATGAAGATGTTCACATCCTGGACAGAGAGGAACGATGGTTTGAGAGAGGAGTAAAGGAGGCCATCTTTGTGAAAAGAAACCGTCCATCATTAAACAGGGGTGGAGCCTCCAGGTTCAACTGTCCCCCTCTTACAATGCTGTGATTGCTAGTATCACTCAGCCCTCTGTGAACAGTAAACAGCCATCAGTGTGCTAATGATCCATTGTTAGGCTGATGGTCCTTCTTGAGCATGTGATCAGCTGGTTTTGGTTGTCAGCAGCAAACTGGTTGATCCACTCTGAGAAGGTGCTATTTAAGAGACTGAGCTGAATACAGCACATCAGACTGAGGAAGTATTCGTATGAAATACGAAACGTTTATAGATTTTTTTTTTGTTGTTGTTTTGCTTTGTTTGTTTTTTTGAATGTCCAGAGGACCAGATTTAACTTTTTTGGATTTTTCTACCTGGATTATTGAGCATGCATCAGGATATTTTGAACCACTTTGGCCAGGATTGCCTCAAACTAGTTAGAGAGTTGGAGAAAACAGCAAGGAAGAGGGCAGATTACAGGAACCACTTGCGATTCCACCTCAGATGTCGACATTCCCAAGAGCCTGGAACTAAAATCTTCGGTCAGCGGGCACCGGGCAAGCAAGATCCTTCAGAAGGCACAGACCCAGCTGCTGAATGAACGGGTGAGCCAGACCAATTTTACTATTGAGGCCTTGAAGGCCAAAGAAGAGCACATTAAACAAAAACTAACAACGTACCTAGATCAACTTCAACAAGTGTTGGACTGTACAGATCAGGCACGCTTAGCACAGCATGTCAAGTCTAGGACTCAACAACAAAACAACTTTAACTTACAGATAACTCTTCAACACCATCACAATTTCAATAACAACACATTCAGTGTAAGGCAACACTCCAGTAGACAATTACATGCCAGGGAGACAGAAAAGTGGGTGAAAAATTTATCTGACAGACAGCTCACCCAGCCAGAGACAGAGATTCTTGCCAGGGGACTGAAATTTGTGGTTGCACCAAGTAGAATTCCTCTAGTGGAGATGATCACAGCCACAGAATCAGCCATCCGCAACAACAAAATGAAAGAGGCTGAAGCAGAACAACTCAGAATCAAAGTTTCATCCTGCCTCAGCAATGCCAAACCACCACCTTCCAACATCAGTAGATAGGAGAAGGATGCACTCACCACTCTTAGCAAGGACAAAAACTTCATCATTCTCCCAGCAGACAAAGGAAGGTGCACAGTGATTTTGAACCAGAAAGACTATCATGAGAAAGTTATGACACTCCTTAGTGACTTAAACACTTATGAACCTCTGAAAAGAGATCCAAGAAGTGGTTACAAGAAGAAGTTAATAGATTGTCTGAACATTTTGGAGCAGGACAAGGCTATTGACCGTTTTCTGAACCACAGACTGTACCCAGGGGAGGCCACACCTAGTCTGTATGGTTTACCTAAAATCCACAAACAAGGTGTACCTTTAAGACCTATTGTTAGCATGATTAACTCTGTCACTTACAATGTTTCCAAATATCTGGTGTCTGTACTCATCCCTTTAGTTGGCAGCTCAGAACACCATGGACTTTGTGGACAAGGTGAGGGATGTCATCATGGAGACTGATGAAACAATGGTCTCTTTTGATGTCACATCACTCTTTACGTGCATTCCTGTTGATGATGCAGTAGAGGTGGTCAGTTTAAAATTAAAATCAGACACCACTCTGAGCAGCAGGACCACACTTTCCACAGAACAACTGTGTCAACTCTTGAAACTGTGCCTGCAGTCAACCTACTTCACATATGGGGAGCAATATTATAGGCAGAAACATGGGTGTGCTATGGGGTCTCCAGTTTCTCCTATTGTTGCCAATCTGTAAATAAATCAACCTTTATTTATACAGGTAAATCCAATTGAGCCTCGAGGACTAATTTACAAGAGAGACCTGATTTCAACAAAGAAAGATGACAACAATGGACGACAGCAACAACAATAAACAGTTATAAGAAATGCATACTACAGTTTTTTTTTTTTTTTAACAAATAGGATTGCTAAAAGGAAAAGGTAACAAAAAAACAGCTAGATTCCAAGACAAATGTAGAAAACTAAATGGAGGAAGTAGAAAAGAGAGCCTTGACATCCTTTTCAGGGACACCACCAAGTCATTGGTTCAGGTATGTTGACGACACCTGAGTTAAAATTAAATCTCAGGAAGTCCAACATTTTACTGACCACATCAACTCTGTGGATAAATACATCAAGTTCACATGAGAAGATGTAAAAAATGGCAGGTTGGCTTTCTTGTACTGTGAGGTCTCAGTCTCTGATAGAGGACATTTGCAAACTGAGGTGTACCACAAACCCACCCACACAGACCAGTATTTGCAGTTTGACTCCCATCACCCTTTGGAGCACAAGTTAGGAGTCATCAGGACTCTGTATCACAGAGCAGACAGCGTCCCCACTAGCTCAGGAGCCAGGCAGAAGGAGAAATCCCACACAAGACAGGCTCTAGAGCAGACCTGGGCATTGTATGGCCCCAGGGCCACATGCGGCCCTTTGGTTGACTCTGACCGGCCCCCGTAAAGGGAATTACAAAATACATATGTAAACAAATGAAGTTAACCAAATCCAGATATAGATCCTCTCTCACTGATGATGTCAGCTTTGCTTCACATCTCCACCTCAGACCTTCAACCTGACTTTAACATTTCCGTTAAAGCCCAACAGAGACTAGACTTCTCTCACTAAACAAGAAAAAAAGAACTGAAAAACACCAAATGAGATGTTTAGACTACAAATGTAGGCACGTAAAGAACCGGGACTCGAAATCACAGTTCAGTGACGATCACTATTATATGATGTTTCATAATATTTGGAGTACAAAGACAATATTGTGATATATTTAGAAAGCTAAGAACTTTTTCCAGCAGTATATAAAACTCAAAATGAGTTTTGGGGTGAATGTGACTGAAAATGATCACTGTACAATTACCATTGTACTGGGAAATTTTAATTGAATAAATGACATTTTTTGTAAGGAAACCTCGCTTTTTCATTGCTTAATCATAACGAATACTCTTACCAGCTTGTTAAAACAGTGCTATGTACTGCTTTTAATAATGAAATACTATTATTATGCAGTATTGAGTTAACTTGAAATCAGGACTCTCTTGTAAATGAGTCCTCGAGGCTCAATGGGATTTACCTGTCTAAATAAAGGTTGAATGAAAAAGTCATTTGTGCCAGCCCTCCACAATATTTGTTGTTTCTCATGTGGCCCCATGGAAAAAATAATTGCCCACCCCTGCTCTAGAGCAATGAGGATATCCTAACTGGGCCTTCCTGAAAGAAGAAACCCAAACAGGACTCCAGTCAGCCATCAGGTGAAAAGGAGGAACCCAGACCCAGACCAGTGGTCATTCCATATGTTGAGGGAGTATCAGAGAAACTGAGACGTTTATTTTCTAAACATAACGTCCCAGTGGCTTTTAAACCCCAAAATACATTACGGCAAAGACTGGTTCATCCCAAAGATCCAGTCCCCCGGCACAAACAGAGTAATATTTTGTATGCTGTTCAGTGTCAGGAGGGTGATCAGTCTTACATCGGGGAAACTAAACAGCCACTGGCCAAAAGGATGGCCCAGCACAGAAGATCAACAACATCAGGCCAGGACTCTGCGGTCTTCACTCATCTCCAGGCCAGCGGTCACTCTTTCAAGGATGAAGATGTTCACATCCTGGACAGAGAGGAACGATGGTTTGAGAGAGGAGTAAAGGAGGCCATCTTTGTGAAAAGAAACCGTCCATCATTAAACAGGGGCGGAGCCTCCAGGTTCAACTGTCCCCCTCTTACAATGCTGTGATTGCTAGTATCACTCAGCCCTCTGTGAACAGTAAACAGCCATCAGGTGCTAATGATCCATTGTTAGGCTGATGGTCCTTCTTGAGCATGTGATCAGCTGGTTTTGGTTGTCAGCAGCAAACTGGTTGATCCACTCTGAGAAGGTGCTATTTAAGAGACTGAGCTGAAAACAGCTCCTCAGACTGAGGAAGTCTCTTGGATGAGAGACGAAATGTTTCTACAATTTTTTGTTGTTGTTTTGCTTTGTTTTCTTTTTTTGAATGTCCAGAGGACCAGATTTAACTTTTTTAGACTGCAGGTAATAATGTCCTGAGAGCGCACGCTGTAGCTGCACTCCCACAGAGACATGTAGGAGGAGATGTATGAAGGCATACAGATTTTTTTTTTACAAATTAAAATTAGATGGCGGGCAGCACGGTGGTGCAACTGGTAGAGCTGCTGCCTCTCAGCGAGCAGGTCCTTGGTTCAAACCCCGGTCCAGGGGCCTTTCTGGGTGGAGTTTGCATGTTCTCTCGGTGCATGCGTGGGTTTTCTCCGGGTGCTCCGGTTTCCTCCCACAGACCAAAAACATGCATGTTAGACTGATTGGTAACTCTAAATTGTCCCTAGGTGTGAGTGAGAGAGTGAATGGTTGTTTGTCTCGTTTGTCTCTATGTGTCCCTGTGATGGACTGGAGACCCGTCCAGGGTGTCCCCCGCCCCTCGCACAGTGATTGTTGGACATGGGCACCAGCGACCCCCGTGACCCAAAATGGAATAAGCGGGTAAAGATAATGGATGGAAAATTAGATGGCAAAAAAAGTAGCAAAAAACAGCTAGAATATTCTACTCATCTGTTGCCAATTAACTAATTAGTTGCTCTTACAGCAGCTTCTTATTCATAGCATTTTGTTGGGTTATTGCAAAATAAATAAATAAATAAATAAAATTTTCAAATTATCCCCCTCCAAAAAAATAAATAAAATAAAATTATAAATTTTTTGTTGAATCATTTTACAGGTTTGCTATTTCCCAAAGTGAATAAAACAGAGGTCTGTGAGATGAGTGCATGTCCCCAGTTCATGGGATATGCAGATTATTAGATTATCTTAAAAAAAAAATTTTGTTTGTTTGTTTTACATTTTACACATCTTATTTTTTTCAAACCGTTCTGTACTTCTGCGAAAGAGATGTGAAAATGAACCTCTGTGTTTGATGCAGTGATATGTAAGGCTTGGATCTTTGCTTTGAGGGAAACGACTTGAGAGAGCATCACTGGATTCTGAAGTAGACAAAGGGAGACCAGGCTCATGCTGATATGAAGACAGGACTGGAGTGTGCCCGGCTAAAACTCCTTGAAGTTTTCCTGAAAGGTTGCCATGAGATGAGATGGTCCTTTCATCCATGTCCTTTGATATGACTGGATATTCTCTCCTGTAAATAAGTTTCAGCAACAAAACAGAACTGTCTTAATGGATGCTAAACGCTTTAAATGGACTGTACTTATTATAGCACCTTTCTATCCTATGAAGATACTCTAAGCTCCTGATGCATACCCAATAATCCAGGTAGAAAAATCTAAAAAAGTTAAGTCCGGTCCTCTGGATGTTCAAAAAACCAAACCAAAAATTGTAGGAACATTTCATCTTTCATCTGAAAGATTTCTTCAGTCTGGGGTGCTGTATTCAACTCAATCTTATAAATATCACCTTCTTATAACAGCTCAACCAGTTTGCTGCTGACAGCCAAAACCAGCTGCTCACGTGATCAAGGAGGACCATCAGCCTAACAATGGATCATTAGCACACTGATGGCTGTTTACTATTCACAGGAGGCTGAGTGATACTAGCAATCACAGCATTGTAAGAGGGGGACAATTGAACACGGAGGCCTCCACCCCTGTTTAATGATGGACGGTTTCTTTTTTATAAAGATGGCCTCTTTTACTCCTCTCTCAAAACATCGTTCCTCTGTATCAAGCATGTGAACATATTCATCCCTGAACGAGTGATCTCTGGCCTGGAGATGAGTGTAGACCTCAGAGTCCTGGCCTGATGATGTTGATCTTCTGTGCTGGGCCATCCTTTTGGCCAGTGGCTGTTTGGTTTCCCCAATGTAAGACTGATCACAGCCCACCTGACACTGAACAGCATACACAATATTACTCCGTTTGTGCCAGGGGACTTGATCTTTGGGATGAACCAGTCTCTGCCGTAATGTATTTTGGGTTTTAAAAGCCACTGGGTCTCCGATGCAGACAAAGTGGCATCGTTCCCAAGAGCCTGGAACTCAAATCTTCCATCAGTGGGCACAGGGCAAGCAAGATCCTTCAGAAGGCACAGACCGAGCTGCTGAATGAATGGGTGAGACAGATCAATTTTACTACTGAGGTCTTAAAAGCCACAGAAGAGCACATTAAACAATGTGCCTTGATCATGCCACACTTCAGCAAGTGATGGGCTGTACAGATCAGGCACACTTAGCACAGCATGTCAAGTCCAAGACTCGACAACAGAACAAGTTTAACTTACTGATAACTCTTCAACACCATCACAATTCCAATACCAACACTTTCAGTGGAAGACAACACTCCGGTAGACAGTTACATGCCAGGGAAACAGAAAAGTGGGTGAAAAATTTATCTGACAGACAGCTCACCCAACCGTAGACAGATTTTTGCCAGGGGACTGAACTTTGCGGTTGCACCAAGTATAATTCCTCTAGTGGAGATGATCACAGCCACAGAATCAGCCATCCGCAACAACAAAATTAAAGAGTGTGAGGCAGAACAACTCAGAATCAAAGTTTCATCCTGCCTCAGCAATGCCAAACCACCACCTTCCAACATCAGTAGAGAGGAGAGGGATGCACTCACCACTCTTAGCAAGGACAAAAACATCATCATTCTCCCAGCAGACAAAGGAAGGTGCACAGTGATTTTGAACCAGAAAGACAATCATGAGAAAGTTATGACACTCCTTAGTGACTTAAACACTTATGAACCTCTGAAAAGAGATCCAGGAAGTGGTTACAAGAAAAAGTTAATAGATTGTCTGAAAATTTTGGAGAGGGACAAAGCTATTGACCATATTCTGTACCACAGACTGTACCCAGGGGAGGCCACACCTAGTCTGTATGGTTTACCTAAAATCCACAAACAAGGTGTACCTTTAAGACCAATTGTTAGCATGATTAACTCTGTCACTTTCAATGTTTCCAAATATCTGGCGTCTGTACTCATCCCTTTAGTTGGCAGCTCAGAACACCACATACAGAACACCATGGACTTTGTGGATAAGGTTAGGGATGTCATCATGGAGACTGATGAAACAATGGTCTCTTTTGATGTCACATCACTCTTTACGTGCATTCCTGTGGATGATGCAGTAGAGGTGGTCAGTTTAAGATTAAAATCAGACACCACTCTGAGCAGCAGGACCACACTTTCTACAGAACAACTGTGTCAACTCTTGAAACTGTGCCTGCAGTCAACCTACTTCACATATGGGGAGCAATATTATAGGCAGAAACATGGGTGTGCTATGGGGTCTCCAGTTTCTCCTATTGTTGCCAACTTGTACATGGAGGAAGTAGAAAAGAGAGCCTTGACGTCCTTTTCAGGGACACCACCAAGTCCAACATTTTACTGATCACATCAACTCTGTGGATAAATACTGTATATAAAGTTCACACAAGAGGATGTAAAAAAATGGCAGGCTGGCTTTCTTGGACTGTGAGGTCTCAGTCTCTGATAGAGAATATTTGCAAACTGAGGTGTACCGCAAACCCACTCACACAGACCAGTATTTGCAGTTTGACTCCCATCACCCTTTGGAGCACAAGTTAGGAGTCATCAGGACTCTGTACCACAGAGCAGACAGCGTCCCCACTAGCTCGGGAGCCAGGCAGAAGGAGAAATCCCACACAAGACAGGCTCTAGAGCAATGTGGATATCCTAACTGGGCCTTCCTCAAAGCAGAGAAGAATCCCAAACAGGACTCCAGTCAGCCATCAGGTGAAAAGGAGGAACCCAGGCCAGTGGTCATTTTGTATGTTGAGGGAGTATCAGAGAAACTGAGACTTTTATTTTTTAAACACAACGTCCCAGTGGATTTTAAACCCCAAAATACATTAAAGACTGGTTCATCCCAAAGATCCAGTCCCCCGGCACAAACAGAGTAATATTGTGTATGCTGTTCAATGTCAGGAGGGTGATCAATCTTACATCGGCGAAACCAAACAGCCACTGGCCAAAAGGATGGCCCAGCACAGAAGATCAACATCATCAGGCCAGGACTCTGAGGTCTACACTCATCTCCAGGCCAGCGGTCACTCTTTCAGGGATGAAGATGTGCACATCCTGGACAGAGAGGAACAATGGTTTGAGTGAGGAGTAAAGGAGGCCATCTTTGTGAAAAGAAATCGTCCATCATTAAACAGGGGTGGAGGCCTCCGGGTTGAACTGTCCCCCTCTTACAATGCTGGTTTTTCTAGTATCACTCAGCCCCCTGTGAATAGTAAACAGCCATCAGTGTGCTAATGATCCATTGTTAGGCTGATGGTCCTTCTTGACCATGTGAGCAGTTGGTTTTGGTTGTCAGCAGCAAACTGGTTGATCCACTCTGAGAAGGTACTATTTATAAGACTGAGCTGAATACAGCACCTCAGACTCAGGAAGTCTTTCGGATGAAAGACGAATTGTTTCTACAGTTTTTTTTGTGTGTGTTTTGAATGTCCAGAGGACCGGATTTAACTTTTTTTAGATACTCAAAGCTCTTTGCAACAATCTGTGCCCTCATTTACCCATTCATACAGTTCTCTACTACATCTGTACAAAGAATAATCAGAGATTATCACATTCATACACGTATGGGACACACATCAGAGGCAATGGGGGGTTCAGTGTCTTTCCCAGGGACACTTCAACATGTGACTGCTGGTGGAATCGAACCCCCAGATCTCACATTGGAGGACGACTGCTCTAACCACTCAGCCACAGCTGCCCTAAGAGATCAACCTCTTTTATCTCTTTGTGTAAACATACCTGTTGAGTCTGGAAACATGCAGATCTCTTTCTTCGCTGCCTCGAAACCCTTTGGCAAATGGATTGTTTTCTATTTTCAGCTGAGTGATCTGAAAAAACATTCTACTTAAACTCTTGTTCTGTTTATATTCAATCAAACGAAATGTAAAGCAACAATACCCCATGTCTTGTCATAGACCAGAACCTTGACACTTTCTAAACTAACCTAACCTCAGAAAAGAAAACTACTGTTCCACTATGTCAAATCTTGCAGTTTTAGAATAAAAAGATTACATGTAAACAGTCGTCTGAATGTTTATGAAGCATTCACATGACAGTAGTCCCTCGTTTATCATGGGGGATCCATACTGTGAAGCCCCGCAATAAGTGAAAAACCATGAAGTAGTAAGTAGTAGTTTATTTTAGTAATTATATATATATATATATATATATATATATATATATATATATATATATTTAATATCTATAAAGGTGTTTTAAACCCTTCATACATTCTTGCAACATTCTAAACAATGTTTCTAAAGTCTACTAGTGGGAGGTTTGGGCATCCTTCGCCAGAAAAATTTGAAGATACCATTTCCTGCATTCTGGTGTGTTTTAACGGGTTGTTAAACATCTATGTTTACCTACATAAGTAAACAATTGAACAACTATTTTAGAGACAGATTCCTCGTTCAACTTGTCCAAATCTGCATCTTCCTGTTTTTAAACTCAGTCCTAAGGCTAAGATATTACTGTGACACAATTTATCACCATCACAAAGTGCACATGAGTGCACTTTACTTTAATTTTGTTTAATTTTTATTTAGTTTTATTTGTAACACAACATGTCATTGTGCTAAGCAATGATGACACTCAACTGCATGTTTAAAAATAAGAATATTGACTTTAACCAATGAACATTTTAATAACCTCCAACAGTGAATTTAGGGGGGCTTTTTACAGTTTTATGATTGGCAATAGACTCATCACAGACAAAGACTTGGCATCATGCAGCTTTCACAACACTCAATTACACCTTGCCATGCAAGTGACAAAAAAAAACTTTTTAGTCAGTTTTGTCAGAGTCAGAGTTTCTTTATTTGTCATTCGCACCACATGTGGTACATGTGGTGAAATGAAATTGTGTACACAGGGTCCCAGTTACATCCAACAATAAAATGTAAAAGAAAAACAGTAATAACATCTAAGATATGAACTAAGAAAAACATTAACTAAAAATACACTAAGCACTAGTAGCATAAATATGCCAAACAAAAGCAGCACGAACATGAGTCTGTGTGAGCAGATAAGCACAAATGAACACAGCAACATGAAACAGATCAGCAGCAACATGAAACAGATCAGCAGCAACATTACACAGATCAGCAGCAACATGTGATTTTTTTCACAGTGATTCTCCTGGTTAGAGATTCATGATTCTAACAGCCTCAGGATAGAAGCTGTTCCTCAATCTAGTGGTTCTACACTTAATGCTCCTAAACCTCCTTTCTGAGGGGAGCGGGGCAAAAAGTGTGTGTGCTGGGTGAGTGGGGTCCTTCATGATGCAGGTGGCCCTCTTCCTGCATCTGGAGGTGTAGATGTCTGTGATGGTGGGGAGGCTGACTCCAACATCTTCTGTGCAGCCTTCACCACTCTCTGCAAAGCTTTTCTTTCTGCAGCTGTGCAGCCTCCATGCCACACGTTGATGCTGGAGCACAGGATGCTCTCCACTGCACACCTGTAGAAGGAGGTGAGGACTGAACTTTCCAGACCAGCTCGTCTCAGCCGCCAGAGGAAGTAGAGTCTCTGATGAGCTTTCTTCATCAGGCTGGTGGTGTTGTTGCTCCAGCTGAGGTTGTTGTTCAGGTGCAGACCCAAGTACTTTTAGCTGGAGATCACTTCCACTGCAGATCCTCCTATGTTAGGGGTAGGTGTGTTTGTTCCTTCTGAAGTCCATGACCATCTCCTTTGTCTTCTTCATACTGATGTGAAGGTTATCCTTCCTGCACCAGCTCTCCAGGTGTTCCACGTCCTTCCTATAGCTGGACTTATATCTCCATCAATTGTTGTTTGTGTGGGATTTCCAGCCTTTTATCCACAGCTCTTCTCCACCAGAGGGCGCCAACAGAAACACACCTGAGATCCATTGAGGACTAATGAGCAGCAGAAGTATAAATACCAGCTGAGGACTTCATTCTATGCTGCTGCATTATCTGCCTTTGCTCTGACTTCTGTGTTCCACCTGCATCCTGGATCTCATGGTAATTACTCTTGATCATTCCTGGGCTCATCGCAACTGTTTCTTGCCTTCCACCACCTGCTCACTTGCACTGGATCGCTTTGAAACCTTTTGGACATTCACTGACTGACCTCCCTTTCTTACAGTAAGAACTACTCCTCTGGACATAATACTGCCCTTGAGATTTCTCATTGCCTGCTTTAAGTTTGCTCCTTGCTCTCCAGGGTTCCAGCCTCTCCCTGGAAAGTCACCTCACCAATATCATCGTTTCACTTTTGTAAATAAACACTGTTTAACTTTCCCTGGTCTTGAAATCTGTTTGCTTTTGGTCAGTATTTATCTGGGGGTTGCTAGAAACCTTACAGAATGTAGCAGCCAAACAAAACCCAGATCTTGACCGAAGGTGAACAGCTTCAACACATGCTCACGTCGCAGATGAAGCGCATTGATAAACATGAAACCACCCTCGAGAAGATTCTCACACAACAAAACACCCATCAGTTTCACTTACAAGAATTAGGAAACATGTTGTTTTCTGTTAACCAAAAGCTGTCTCTATTAACCCCTCCTGCCACAGTTTGCCCTCCCGAGCCTTCAATGTCAAGACCTGCAGCTTCTCCTGCGCCCTCCGTGATGTTCGAACAGAGTTTAAGACCTGCCAAGATATTTTGTGGAAATTCCGATCTATGTGGGGGTTTTCTACTCAAGTGAGAGTTGGCCTTTAACCGTGCACCTAAAATATATTATTCCGACGCAGCTAAGATTTCATATATTATCAGCCAATTAAACGGGGAGGCTCAACGTTGGGCTCAAGCATTTATAGATTATCACTCCTTCAATTCTATAAACTTCTCCATGTTTTTACAAGAGTTCAAGCTTGTGTTTGATCGTCCTCTTCAGCAGGCGAAAGCAGTGAAGCACCTCCTCAATCTCAGGCAAGGGAGAAACTCTGTGGCTAAACATGCCCTTGAGTACCGCATCACTGCTGCCCGGACCGAATGGGACAAAAATGCACTTCGAGGTACCTTTTAAATTCCTTATCTGATCACATTAAGGATCAGTTGGCCACCAGAGAAGAGCCACAAAGTTTGGATGAACTGATCAGTATTGCCACCAGGATCAACAATCATTTTCATGAGAGGAGGAGAGAAAGAAACTACAAGTCCCAGGTACCCCACACTTCCAGCTTCTGCCCAACACCCATTTTTCCACACTGTTTCTCCTCTCGTCACAGAAGCCGAAGTTGAGCTTATGCAGATTGGTCGTACCTGCCTCACACCAGAGTAGAGGCAGAGAAGGATAGTAAGCAAAGCCTGCATTTATTGTGGACAGAAGGGGCACTCAATTGCCCATTGCCCACTTTGGAGAAATGACAACCCACCAGTAAGGCAGGAGATACCGGTGGGAAACTCAACAATTTCTTCTGTATCCCACCTATTATTAAACACTACCATTCATGGTGACTTAGAAAGACTTTCTGTGCTTGCCCTCGATGACTTGAGGGCTGAGCAAAATTTAATCAGCTAAGACCTGGTGGACAAATTGAACATTCCCACACAGACTCTCCCACAGCCCCTGACAGTTACAGGTCTCACCGGAGAGAGCTTCACTTCAGTCCAGGTCAGGATGCATAAGGTGCATCTGATCATCTCTGGAAATCACCATGAGCAAAGTGAGTTTTTGTTTTTGATCCCCCTACCACACAGTTAATTATTTGTTTCCCATGGCTAAAGGAACATAATCCTACTATAAATTGGGTAAATAAGAGAGTAGACAAGTGGATTACACATTGTTTGAAGAACTGTTTAAAGTCTGCTACTCCCACGTTCACTAAAGAGGTTGTAATCAATGAAGACATAAACTTATCCAAGATCTCCTTCGTGTATCATGATCTAGCACAAGTTTTCAGTAAACAAAAAGCACAGTCTCTACCCCTCACCATTGCTATGACTGTGCCACTGACCTCCTACCAGGCGCACCATTACCCTTGAGCAGACTTTACAATTTATCTGGACCCGAGAGAGAATCTATGAGAAATTACATTGAGGAGTCACTCTGTACTCCTCACCAACGGAGACACACCTACACCTGAGAAGAACTGACTAGAAAAAAAGTGATTAGAGTAGTGAAGTTTCCTCATATTATAGGGATGGCCAATTAACATATGTGGGGACCATCTTGGATTTTGACATAGCACCCAATCCCTGATAGGGCCCTTTCTTTCGCCTCAATGCAACCACACACACACTAAAATGGAAGGTGGCACGTTGCCTATTTTTCAAATTATCTGGTTCACAGCTTCACAACAAATTGTGCTACTGTTAATCGAAGACCACAAGGAGGGAAACGTGTCAGGAGCGAGAGGGAGAAGAGGAACGTCAAGAATGTAGGACTGAGGATTGCAACTCTAAATGTGGGGACAATGACAGGCAAAGGTAGAGAGATGGCTGACATGATGCTGAGAAGGAAGGTAGATGTTTTATGTGTCCAAGAGACCAAGAGGAAGGGCAGCAAGGCCTGCAGCATTGGAGCAGAGTTCAAACCGTCTTACCATGATGTGGATAGAAAGAGAAATGGAGTAGGGGTGGTCCTGAAGGAGGAGTTGGCAAAGAATGCAGTAGAGGTGAAAAGAGTGTCAGATAGGTTGATATGCCTGAAGGTAGAAGTAGAAGGTCTGATGCTAAATGTTGTCAGTGGTTATGCTCCACAGTTTGGATGTGATGTGGAGGAGAAAGATACATGTTGGAAAGATCTGGATGAAGTGATAGAGAGTATTCCCAGGCAGGAGAGAGTGCTGATGTGAGCAGACCTGAATGGACATGTTGGTGAAGGAAACGGAGGGGATGTGGAAGTGATGGGTAGGTTTGG